CTGTAATTCTGGCTACTTGGAAGGCTGAGGTGGAAGGATCGCCGGAGTCCAGCAGGTCGAGGAGTGGTCATTGCACTCCAGTCTGGGCGACAGAGTGAGACTCCAACTCAATAAATAAACAAACAAATAAATAAATAAATAAATCCCTCATCAATTTTCAGAAAGGTTTGAGCTTATTACTTAATCACATACTGCGTCAGTTCCATTTTTTTCACTCTTAAGGAACTTCAGCTAAATATATGTTAGACTTTCTTATCGTATTTTTCATGTCTCTTCTCTTCTGTGTTTGTCTCTTTTTTCTTCTCCCCCTAGAGTACCTGGCTTACTTTAATTTTGTACTGGACATTGTATTAGAAAAATCATTTGTAGAAACAATTTGGATGATATTATCTTTATAAAAGATTTTTAAATGTACTTCTTGCTAGGTCCTAGTTACACCAATAACCCAGGACGATCTTAGTACAGATTCAAGGCTTGAAATTTTCTGAACCATTCAGATAGTTCATAACTGTGCTACACTCCATCTGGATATTGCTTTATTTCTATTTTAAACTCATTCCTGTGGTACAGTCCTTTGGGATTCTAGCCTAATGAGGGTGGTGGCTTACCAAAGTTTTTCCTTGTTGGTACTGGACTCCAGTTATACCCTTAGTTCTGCAAGGACTCAAAAAATGCAGCTCATCCTCCAAGCTGCCTGCTCAAGGTCACTAGATAGCTCTGAGGGTAAAAGTAGCTCTAGTGCTATGTTTTACCTACTCTTACCCTCTCCCTGATCTTGATCCAATAAGTTCTGAATTAACTAGTCTGCCATTATTAGAAGCAGAAGTTTCCTTGTTGAGAGTTTGGCTGAAGTCCATTGACTCCAGAGATCAATCTGGGGAAACTGACATCTTTCTGAGGCCTTCCTATTTATGGATTTGGGATACCTCCCCTTTATTTAGACCTTCTCCAGTATCTTTCAATACAGTTTATAATTGTCTGCATTTTGTTCTTCATGTCTTTTGTTAGATTTATTCATGGACCTTTTGTTAACATCTTTTTAATTGTGATCTTATTGTTTGTTGCTGGTGTGTAAAATGAAATGGACTTTTATATATTGATCTTTAAGCTACCTGAACCTTTTTTGATTATTTCTATTGCATTTTTTTTAAATTCTTTTGGGTTTTCTATGTAAACAATCACATTGTCTGCAAACATTGACAGTTTTATTTTCTTTGTTAAGCCTTTCTTTTCTTTCTTCTTATTGCACTGGCTAGAACCTTTAATGCAATGATGAATAGAAGTGGTGATGGCACATATCTTCTCTTTATTCTGATTCTAAAGGAAAGGAAGAACTTCCAATATTCTTCCGTTTAAGATGATGTATATTATAGGATTTTTATAGATGCTTTTTGTCAGGTTAAGTTAGTTATTTTCTGATTTTATTTTACTATGAGGTTTCATTTATTGATACATAATATTTATACATATTTATGGGGTGTGTAATATTTTGTTATATGCACACAATGTGTAATGATTGAGTCAAGTTATTTAGGATATCCATCACCTAAAAAATTTAGTACTTATCTATTTTTATGTGTTGGGAACATTTCAAGTCCTCTTCTAGCTATTTTGAAATAAACAATAGATTATCGTTAACTATAGTCATGCTATCCTATTGAACATTAGAACTTATTCCTTCTAGTTGTATGTTTTTACCCATTAGCCAACATCTTATCACCCCTCCCCTACACACACACACACACACACACACATTCATTTCTCTCTCTCTCTCTCTTCCAAGCCTTTGGTATCTATCTAGTCTCTACCTCCATGAGATCAACTTTTCTAGCTCCCACATATGAGTGAGAACATGCAATAATGTGTTTCTGTGCCTCGCTTATTTATTTTAACACAGTGGCCTCCAGTTCCATTCATGTTGATGAAATGACATGAATTTATTCTTTTTATGGTCAAATAGTATTCCATTGTGTAGGCATTCATCCACTGGATATTCAGATTAATCCCATGTCTTTGCTATTGTGAAGTGTTGTGATGAACATGAGGGTGCAGGTATTCCTTTGATGTACTGAATTTTTTTTTCTTTTGGGTAAATACCCATTAATGGGATTACTGGATCATATGGTAGTTCTATTTTTAGTTTTTTGATAAATCTCTATACTGTTTTCCATTATGGCTGTACTAATTTACATGCCCACCAACAGTGTATAAGTGTTTTCCTTTCTCTGCTTCCTCTCCCAGCATGTTATTTTTTTCTTTTTATTAATAGCTACTCTGACTAGGGTAAGATGATATCTCTTTGTGATTTTGATTTGTATTTCCCTGATGATTAGTGATGTTGAGCATTTTTTTAATGTCTCTGTTGGCTATCTGTATGTCTTCTTTGGAGAAATGTCTATTTATGTCCTTTGTCTTTTAAAAGAGGATTATTCATTTTATTACTGGTGAGTTGTTTAAGTTCCTTGTATATTCTGGGCATTAGTTTCTTGTTGGATAAGTAGTTTGCAGATATTTTCTTCCATTTAATAGGTATTCT